AGTATATAATTAATTAATATATAGTTATCTGACTTTGTATCTATAGTATAAACATGTTAAATTATCACAAATATTAAGAAAATAATATTACATTTAAATACTAATATTAATTAATTGATTCTGTGTTAAATGTTGTCGTACTTATAGTAGTTACTATTAAGAATTTAAATAAAAAATATATAAAAATATTATTATTTATAACAAAAATAAATATATTATATTTATAATAAATATTTAACTGATGTAATTAAAAAACAAAAATATGTATAAATTAGCTAAATAAAATATTATTATATGCGAGGCTAATTTTATTTATATTTAAAAGATTGTAAGAAAAATTTATAAATTAATTATATACATTTAAGAAACAGAATGCGAATACATTATTAATAAATTATAAACCATATATTTTTAATTTTAGTTTATTTTTTTGGATATATTTTTAATTATTTTTCCTTAAAGCGTGCTATAAACTTATTTTTACATATGTAACATTATTTTTTAAAAGAAAACATATTCAGTGGAAAAGAAAAAACAAACTTTCATAAATTGTAAACAATAAAAAAAACAATTAATACATATTACATTTAAATTTATAAAAATGTAATTAAGGGTTTTTAAAAGAGAAAATACACAAAATTCGTTCATAATAGAAACTATATTGCAAAGAGAATAAGAACATTTTCAAAACAAAAAACATTAACAAAATGTTACAATAAACAATAAATTTATTTAAAAATAATAATGTATTTTTTTTTATAAAATACATTTGGCTACAAGTTTTTAAATATTTAAATAACAACTACAGTAAATTATTGCAAAACAACCATTTTGGATCAGAGACTTTTTGTGAAATAAGTTGATCCACAATTTAGTTAATAATTAAATAAAAACTGAAAATGTCAGTACATGTCTCTCGCTCTACGGTACCGATAGGTTGAAGTATTGGTTCGTCCTTTTAATTGTAAAGAGTCCACTTTAAATAGTAGGACAGAGTTCACTGGCACTTTAATCCGCATTAGCTACACGGTAATATAGTCAGATCTGGGTCAAAAAACGAATACCAGTGTACGAGGTCCTGTACCTATCTTACTAGATTAGTAAATGCTTAGATTTACTTAGTAAATAAATGCACGACTTTAATTTGAAAGCTGAATGTGTTTTATTTGGTAAGATTTAGTTTTCAGCAAAAGATATTTGCAACGGTTTGAGTTCACTGCTCTATTGAAAGTGTAATACCCTGTTATTTTTTATTCTATTTCTATTTTAAATCGTTATAAATTATCGACTTTTCTTTTAAAAATAACTTTTAGCAATTATATGTAGAATGCGAGTTGAATTCTCTACATCATATGTCGCATGAAATAATATTCCGTGTTTTGTCTGCTCTATTGATAGCAGTGCATAATTTATAAATATATGAGGTATTATGAGGTACACAATGGAGAGAAAACTAAAAATAATTAAACTAAGATTAAAGTCGAAATACTAAACTCTTAGATTCATCTATGATATAATGTCACAAAACAATTCATTCTTTCTCCAGTCGCGCATTCATCTGTCGTCCGGAAGGGGAATCAAGTAAATTTTAAACACAATAAACACTAAAAGCTAGTTTGAAATATCAACAATATCTACTTAGTATTCAAAATTTGTCGTCTCTGCTTAGAAGAAATGAAACCTACAGAAATATTCTTATAGATAGATATAATATATAAAGGTATTGAATAATCACATCAAACTTTCTAAATATTATTTATATCAAACACTTTCTAGCGAGCATTGAGATCCCTCGATATTCAGAGACAGCACTTCTTTCCATACGTGTCTCTGCTGAATGCACGGTGTCTCTAGTACACCATGTGTCAGTAGTGCTCCCTCAAAATTATCACTCTGTTGGATACGATTTTCTACTACGTTTTTTATTTTGAATGCCGAATCAAATATATTTTTTCGTTGGAGTATTGTCATGTAACATACCCCCACGACACTACCAAGCTAGTTGGATGTTAGTTTACTGAAAAATAGCAATGTCATGATTAAACTTATATAACCCATATTTCAAAAGCGGTAGCCAACCTGTCGAGAGCTAAAAATCTTATGTTTTAAACATTATAGCAATGGTTATTCTTTGTCTAATTTCCAGGCTGACATTAGGTATAGTATGATTGTTTTTAGGTATCGCGGTACTAAAATAGATAAATCCTTGACAATTTCGAAGATATTATCACCAGCAAATCAGCTCGATTCCCGGAAGATACACATTTCTGTCAGATTTTCATTTCTGCAGGTTACTCTCAATAATGCAAGGATGTTGGTGTCATTAGAGTAAGTAAAATCTGGATATATTTGTAAAATATATAGTACCGCACCATTATGATGAGTACTTGCTAAGCCTATACTTACTTTATTGAAGAGATCAGAGGACTTAAGGAGTGTGATGGAGCGATGCTATTTTTATGGAGTTACAGTTACTGTTTAACCTCATTCTGTAAAGACGTATTAGGTCTATAGTCCAGAAAAAGATGACGGGTGTTGATATTTTATTCGTGCGTATCTTTCAGGTAAAAAATAGTTTGGGTACCTGTTTCTGTAAAAAACCCGGGCCATATTTTTCTAAATTTCTTTTCTTCAAACAAACTGTGAAGGAAAGCACAAAAAACTTTAATGGAAGCGTCATTTATAAAATTTGAACTAATTTAACACTTTATTTTAAAAAGGCAAGTGATTTTTAATGTAACTCCCCTTGAAATGTAAAAAGTGTTACACAAAAATTGGTATACGGAAGATACTAAATCCAATACTGAATTTAAAAAGAAGTAAAATAAAAATACTAGATAAAAGTAGAATACTATACATACTAACAAAAAATAAACTATAGAACAGGTTTGACTCTCAATTATCTCAGTTAATTGAAACAGGAATTTAAAGGAGATCTTATTAATTAAGAAATTATTGCGAGGTTTCGAACTGTAGTGAAATACAACAATTTTTTTTAATATTTTAACTAATAGAATTTTTGGCTAACCTTACAGCTATTTCAAGTATTGCTAATACTCATCATTAGTGGTCTTGGAACTGATTCTTATTATTTAATTATTCGTAAATAATTTAAATTGCAAGTACCTAGGTTTGAAATTATACCCTGCCAAATTTGAAGCTCAGAGTCAGTCACTGTTTCCTAACTAAGAAATTTTATATATAAACTATATATGCTTACTAATATTTTTAGTTGTTCGTAAATCTATAGATTATTTATATATGCGTATGTAATTTATGAATATTGGCTTTTTATCTGCCTTTCTTCAATTGTTCAATGTACAGTGTGATATACGATATCGCTTTATAGTTAGTCAGTGCTTGTTTTTATGACAAGTAATTATTCAAACACACATGTTTTTTAAGTAATTAAAATCTGAAAACCTTCTTATCATACTCTCTATTCTTTTAGTTTATTTTGATATGTATGTATGAATATATTTATACACAACGCATTTTGTATATTAGTATGGATTTAACTGACAAGAACGTTTTTTTTTAATTTTTTATTTATTTGACATTTGAAATAATACTTTGAGATCTAATAACTTTAGAACGACTTTAGAAAAAATCAATAAATTCAGAAATTAATGATTAGGAAATATTTATACAATATTAATTATATGGTAGTTGCACACTCTAGATTTACTGGTTTCTATGATTAAATATGTTTCTTCTTAGTCTACAATAGATCGTTTTGAAGATCATTGAGGATGATCTTCAAAGATCAAAAATTTTTATAGAAAATTAAATTTACACTCTAATAATCAAAAAATGAATCATTTGGATTAAGATATGCAAGATATTATATATAATAAAATGTTTATTCTAAGTTTACAATAACTATAAACGGAGAAATGAATAAAGGGTGCCTTAGAAGTGGTCCAATGTACCTATGTGATCACCATAAGAGACTCTCGCTTATACTCTTGATGACGTCTGATGTGGTATCCCGATTCAGTACACCACATAGCAACATATTTATACATTTTCTGTTTATAAAACTATTTATTTATAATTATTTTATTGTACATTTCCATACAATAATTAAATTAATATCTGTAAGTGTATATTAAACGCATATATATAATTATCACTAGGGACCTGCTTTTGAAGATTAGTTGGGAAGTGTCGAACGGATCTTAATCGTCACTGGCGACGAGTGGCTCCAGGACGTAAACCCTGCCGTTCTTGGAACCCGGATATTCTTTTAGAGTGTTCCAACATATTTGGTCAGTCACATTGTTTTCGTAATTTCTGATGTTGGTCTTTCTTAAAACGATTTCTATTGTGTTTAGTTATCGATTTCAAATGTATACATACATATACAATATAGTTATATTAATTTATGATTGAGAATAATAAGAAAAACTTTTGTAGTACTGGCTGCCTTAAGCGAGCTAAGCTATATATAGATAAATTCTATACATATACATTAAAGAACATATAAAAAAAACAAGATTATTTCTGCAATTGTGCATTTTTAGCTATAAATTTGTATCATTTATTAAATTTACTATTTTTGTTGCGAATATATTTTGCATATTACAATATTTGTATAATATTAAAACATAGCAATATATTAATTAATACAATAAAAGTATACGTTATTTTTTTTAAATATTTTATACATACATGTAAACATATAAAATATATAATATATTAAATAGATTAATAAAGAAAAAGACTATTTATTAATATAAGAAAATAATAATATAATAATTATAATTACATACATATATGAAGAATTACATACATGTAAACATATAATATATATTAATAAGATTAACAAAGAACACGGCTATTTATTAATATAAGAAAATAATAATATAATAATTATAATTACATACATATATGAAGAATTACATAAAAAACAAATAAACTATAATAGTTAATATATTTTAAATATTGGAAAGATAAATTTGTGATTAATTGATAAAATATATATTTATACTGGAATATTAATTAAAAACTTCTTAAGTTAATTTGGTTTAAATTGACACTATTCAGCAAAAGATTTAGTCTAATTACAAGATGAGAAGACAAGCTTCGTTTGCTTATTTCTATAAATGTTTTTCAGAAAGAGTTTTATTTTTTTTTTTAAAGTACATATTATGTTTGCTGATTTCTATTATTTTAAATATATTTTAGGATGCCAACAACAATGTTGTTTGAAGGTTGTTGTTTTATCCTATATAGCTTAAATCTAATATAACAGTTTTAAAACCTTATCTCTGCTTTGTAATAAATTACAAAATATCTATAATCATTTTTATTCATTGCTTAACTACAAAAAGCATTGGATTGCCTTCTACATGCAAGCTAAAAAATGTTAGGCTTTTTGGAATAGGTAGAAGAGTAAAATTTCTCATTTTATTGCACCAGAAAACAACTATTGTATATAAAATTAATTACTGTTGATTACGTTATTTACGGCCACGAGTTCAGGCACCGATGAATTACCACTGCTTTGGCTAACAGTACGTGCATGACCATCGGGAGGTGTGTTAGATACATTTGTTGCACTAGCAGTTTTTGTTATTGGTGTTGTGGCTGCAGCAGTTGTAGTTGCTGTTGTTGGGAATACAGGCGGTGTATTAGATGCGGTAGAAATAACTGGAGTTTGCACCAAAGGCGTTGGTGGAGATTTATTTGCTGGCAGTTGATTAGGTGCACCGGTCATTTGCATATGATATCTTTAAAATAGGAGTAAAATAGGAGTAAAATATATCATAAAATATATATAAAAATATTTTATTTAATCATAATAAACATTAGCTTACTTGTATATATTCTCTGTGCTTTCAACTACGCCCTGTGTTAAATTTAAACTACGGCCTTTAATGCCAGTTTCTTTAGGAGGTGGTGACCACCAGTTAAAAACACGTCCTACTACAGGTACATGTCTTAAAATACCTTCTTGCCATAATTTCTCTTCCGTTTCACGTTGTAGATCAGCAGTTGCAGCTTCAATACCCTTTAAATTAAAAAAAAACGAGTTAAAATTTCATTTTATTTTAAAAAATTTATTTAATAAATTTACCTTTCTGACAATTTCTGACATAGTATCAAGTACTCTAGAATTTTCTTGTACGCTTTGTCCTACAGACACCACCAAATCTAATAGTTCTTCTACGTCGGTTTCATGCGTAACCATACCAAATCTTACGCATATAAGGCCATCCGGACCTTCGCCCAGTGAGAAGGCATTATCCGTACTTTTGAGTGCTTCAACTAAATCAATATTTAATTTATTAAGTTCAGTTTTTGCTTGATCTGTCAGTAATGATTCCCAATTTTCAGGCACAAAACGTACACCACCCATTCCGGCCCAATCTGGTAAGTTAACTATACGGAGCACATCACTCTTCTCCACCAAATGTATAAATGTAGCTTTGTGTTTTACAGTAGCACGTAATATATCTACATGATTTTCTAAACTTAGCGCGAAGTTTTCTAAATTTTCGACAGTAGGCGGCTGTTCGCCTAAGCCTAATTCTAAAGGACAATATCTAATGCAAGTTCCATGCATTTGATGCTCAATAATTTCAAAATCGAACTATATATAAGAAAAAAATTACAATTTTAAAATTAATATTATTTAAAACAATAAAAAAAAACTTACATTTGGACAGTCACGTTGTAAAATTTGACCCAACCAAGAATTTAAACGATCAAAGTAAGAAACATTGTTGACCTTTTCAAGCGTTTTAGCAGCAGTTTCGGAAATACTTTGTTCATTATCTGCTGAATTTGTAGATTTATTAATGGGTATTGTTGTGCTGCCATCAAACTGAAATACAACGACTGGTGCAGCAGTTTCAAATAGAAGCTAACGAGAAAATAATTGAATTAGTATTTCGTTAAGCTGAAGAGTATGAGACTTTACTTACATTTACATCAAGTGGTTTATTAACCACATCAGCAAGTGTGACACCAGATTGCGCCCCTGGTGCGCGGCTCTATATGAAATATATAGTTTTAATATATGGATTGTGATCATGACTAAATATTACTTACAACTACTCTTATTCCTTCACATTTCGAGGCAAATTCAAATAATAAACCGCAAGTTTCAAATGCTATATGTATGCGTTCAGAAATGCTTTCACGACCTAACGCTTGCAGACTGGTCCATAATGACAATGCATTTAAACGTCGCGACAGAATGGGATCAGATTCAAATGCCGTCAATGCTGAGTTTTGTAGTTGCCTATGTAACAGCTAAAAATATAAAAAAAAAATTAATGATGACATAAATTTATTCAACTTTAAAATAAACAATTTAACTTACTACAATGGGCAAGCTCGGCACTCCAAACCAACTACCTAAATTAAGAACAATGGAATCCACAATTTCGCTAACCTGAAAATACAATTGATATGATTAAAAATTATTGACAATCTATATAAAATCTTACTGCGCCAGGTCCATGTGAGCATACAAGTGATGCTAAACCATGTCCAGTAGCATGCAGCCACATATTGTGCGTTTTGCATATGTCGCGCATCCGTAATAAGTTATCAACATAACCGCATAAAGAAGCCCCAATATCTGCGACTACTAATAATGGCGTACGATTTGATGCTAAGTCAAACTGCACTTGTTTTTGTAGGAGTGACAAATCCATTGTGCCAAATGTGTTATTAGCAGGAATAAGTCGAATAGCTTCCAAAGGCAAACCCAACTGCCTGCAAGCAAATTGAAGTCGCAATGGTGTGGTGTTTTCAGATATATAAAAACAAGGTTGTGCTAGTGCTGGTATGCCACCCTCTAAATAACCGGGACAATGCGCTACAATTGCTAAACGAACAGTACGTAATATAGCGTCAGCATTATCCGTGTGAAAACTACTAGCGGGATCAACAAATCTGAAAAGTGTGCCCAACCAGCGTGTGGTATCTCCGGCTATACTGTTAGTAACACGTAATAATTGCTGTCTATCCAAATGTGATAAATATGCTACGATGCTATGGGAAATAAGTGCTAAGTGTGAAACATCATCCAATGCGGGTAACGGATATTCGGGATCATCTTCAGAATCTGCATATGATATCAACCATTCTAATGATTTTAATATTTCGGCAGGAAGCTTGCGATCACCATGCAGTGAAGTGTTAAGTTTGGAAGAAACTGCTGCATTTGATTTTTCCTTAGTGGCTTGTTCATTTTCTGCTCCATTGGCAGACTCTTCCCGTTCAGTTGCGGGAATCGTTTTTACGTTTTCTAAACGTTGAAGTACTTGCGATGTTTTCAATTCCAACTCTGCGAGACCGGAACGAATCTAAATACACAAATTTTGTATATATGAAAAACTAAATGAATTTTGATATGGCTTACACTCGATGCAGCTATTTCAGCAACCTTAGGTTCAGTTTTCTCTTCCAATTTGTCTCCATCACCGGTGTTAGACATATTTTACACAATTTTTCAACTATAACGAAAACTAGCTTTATCCGGCTTCTAAACTACTGCTTTGGATTTGTCTACGTAAACTTTACGTGTTGAAACCTATGATGTGGATATTATCGTTTTATTTGTTTAGCTGTTTTTTTTATTATTGTATTTCTATGCAGAAGCAAAATAGAAATCTGTCGTGTCAGAACTTCGCTAATCTCTTTTCTCTCTCAGTTTATGTTTTGATTTGACATTCTACTTTGATATTTCTTTTGTTGACGTCTTGTTCCACAAATCAAAGTTATAAAGGCGATAATAAAATATATTGTAAATTGTCTAAATATATATTATTTATATAATATGCAATTTTATTTATATTAAAAACAATACAATGAATTTTAAATGAACTAATTATTAAATTAATAACGTGTTTTTAACTATTTTTAATTAAAAAATAATTCTACTAATTAATAAATTGTGGAACCTATATTAAAAACATATGCAATTGTAACTATTGTGAATAACACAATAATTTGCAATAGATTTGAGTAACGGACGGAAAAAGGTAGTAGTGTTGCGTGCGTTGCATATGCGCAGAGTGAAATAGCGTTAAAGAATTTAAAATTAACTATTTTTAATAATTTGTACGCATTATCAATAAAATATTAATATAAGTGTATTGAAGAAAGTATATTTTGTATTTGTTGCTGTTAATTAAAACTACATCATTTATTATAGTAAAGAATGTAATAATTGTGAAATTCTGGTTTGTGGAAAGCAGACATATTTAAATTTTAAAAGAAATGTATTAATGATTAAATGTTTGAATTTATTAGCATTTGAGTTACGAAAAATGTGAATTTTAAAGTAAATTTCCTTGAAGTGCTTAAAAAAATTTTATTAAAAAAATGCTTTACTTACATAAATTAACTGAATCACAGCGTTCAATGGCGTAAACACATTAAAGCGAAACGGTATTATGAAGTTATGAAGCAGATTTATGTGTACTCAGTACTGTTATGAGTAGATTGTGTAAATAATGTTGTTTTTTTTTTCAAAGTGTCGATCATTAATAGGCGTATTCGGTGGCTCGCAAGTACGGCAAAAAACAGCAAGTTGTTGGCCTATGCAGGCCTATACTGGCCGCAATGTACGCAAAACAACAACACTATTTTCTCTACCTCGGTCAGTAAAAAAAAAAATGTTACCAACGCAATAAGCGAACTATTGTGAACCTTCATTGAAAATTCCAACGAATAGTGCAATTAAATGTCAAAAATTGAGGAAATAAAAATTCAAACAGAATTCAAAAATTTGAAAAATCTTGAAAAGTAACGAAGAAATAATAATAATGGAGAAATCGTAAGTATTAAGCACATTGAATTTTTTATTATGTTAGTTATTACCAAGTAACATTTTTTTTATTTCATTTAATTTGTAGTTTACATACGTAAAATTAATAAAACAAACATAATTTTTGAAGTTTTTCTAAAAAATTTTTTTATAGAAATATACGCAAACTATGGACCACAAAGGAAACGAAGTGTTTTCTAGAGTGCTACTTGACACGAACATTTATAACATTTAAAAAATCCATGAAATAACTTGCATTCCTCGGCCGCTGCAAAACGTTGCTTTCTTCTCCCTACACCGACAGTACCTACAAAAATTTACTTATCTCATTGTTTTATTTTTAAATTTCCAATATTCTTACCATTCCTTTTAATTCCGTGTTCATTTTAATTTTATAATATTTTTATAAAAATATATTTGATTTATATGCACATATACAAGATTTGCTGTTTGTCAAAACAAAACATTTGACAGATTGCAACAGTGATGCCAATGACTCGCGTGGCCAACATAGGCCAACATGCATTTTTTGCCGTACTTGCGAGCCACCGAAAAGGCCTAATGATAATGTTACTATTAACGAAAAACTATCGGTTGTGCAAATAAACTTTTATCAGTGAAAAGAAATAAGAATAATTCTTAAAGATTAATTTTAATTAAATTTATATATTTCGCGTTAATAAAAAGGAATAGTCTTCAAAGATAACAAATCTTCATAGTAAAAAGGTTCATATAGATCAGAGGATTGGTATGGTAAGTATAAGAATTAATATTCCTATACATATGTATGTATAAACTATAATTACATCTATAAGACTAATGTGAGTGTTTGGTCAGTACATAAAGAATAATGCACAATCTCGTAACCGATCTGACATACAGTAATGTTTGAAAAATATATTTTCTTAATATTTTATACATCTATAATGTATTTTATATAAACATTAAGCGTATAAGTATTAGTCAATTCTGCACAAAAGATTTACTCACGTCGCAGCGCATGCACGGCCTGTCCATAATAATTAGTAAATTCATTTTAAATACGTTAGCTAATCTTCTATTTTATCAGATATATTCGACTATTTAAAAAAAATTTTTTTTATTTATATTTTATCCTAATAATATTTATCTTATAAACACATTCAAGAAACAATTACCAGAAATCTTACTTATCTTATTTGGGTTATGCCATATTCGATTAGTAAATCTGGGGTAGCTTTTTCAATCCAGATTCTATTTTAGTGCCAATTTTCGTTTTTGATTGGTAAATCTAGATCGAAAGGTGTAACACTTGAGATTAATTTGTAACACTCTAAATATTTTGTCAGAGTAGCAAGATTACCCTATTAATAACAGCTTTTTATATAACTTGAAAAATAAAGTTTGATTTCATTCGACATATGTATTTATGAAAAACATAAATATCTACTTACTCTATTACAAAAATATTAGATTACTCTAAGTACGATCGATTGAGCAACAAAATTTGACAGATCGAGGTTAAATCTAGATTGAATCCAGATTTGCCAATTGAAAGTGCTATTAGAGTAGGTTTGGGAGAGCACGAGTGGATGCAACTATTAGCATTTCTAAAATGGTGACATATTTTTCTTATTGTAACATCCTCAAAGTTACCACAGAGTCCGAATTGTTTAAAGATTTATAAATTAAAAATCAATTACTTAACATTTATTATAACATATCACATAAGTATATATTGCTTTACACCATTAATAGAGTTATCTAAACCCCTAATAAAAATTTAAATATGTAGGTATTTAGTATACTTTGCTTGTTTCAACCCCCTTTCCATTATTCGATTCAAAATCACTGCCGAGGCACTGCTTCACTTAGTATCTTGTCAATTCTAATTCCAGGTCCTTCGATCAATATCGGTCTTCGTAGAGTTTGGCCAGTCCAGCGCCATTTGTGTTTCGGAATTTCTTCTATTATTCTAGTTATGCTTGTACCACAGATCAATACATTCCATTGGTTCATATATTTTCCTTAGTATTATATTATGTGTCAAAAGTTTGCATATTTGATGTGATAAAAAGCATATATCTCGCACTTATAGATACGATCTAACCAGATTAGTTGCTTTTAAAGTTTTTGATCTTTACATGTAAAGAGCTTTATATGACATTAACTGCCAATCATTTTTATGATTAGTCTGGTTCGAAATTCTTGACATTTGCAATCCAAAATTTTTTTTTTCACAATTAAACTACTAGACGTTTACAAAGACCGCTAATGATGGATATTTCAGGATATCTGAAACAGCTGTATCTGATACGATGTTTTCCAATCACATACACTAATGACGTTTTTAGATTGGTAAATCTGGATTCAATATATATTTTTTGTCAATTTGTTTAATTTTCTTGTCCAATCCAACATTTTTAGAGCAATCTAACATTTTTTTAGTCCTATTAGTGGACTACATTTACATTTACATTTTTCACAAATACACATTTTGTGCCAAATCATAGTTTATCTGTCCAATTATATATAACAGCTCTGGCAAAATATCTAGAGTGTTATAAACTAATATCGAGTGTTATAGATTTTGCTCGAGATTCACCAACCAATCGATAACAAAATTGCACTAAAAGTGCATTAAAAGAGCATCTCAACTGCAAAGATTACCCTAGATTTACCGATCGAAAACGCCATAATTATGTCAATCCACCTTTTCCTTGACATTGTTCCAAGAATTTACTTAATTTATTTTCTTACTATTAGCTCTCTCTTTTTTATGAAGATTTATATGAGTACTATAAATATAAAGATGTTCTTAAACTGAGTTAATATTTTTTGTTTTGACTAATAAATATGACTGTAGTTACAAAGCCCTATGTAACTATTCTATTAAATTTTGCACTGAACTTCACTTAGAAATTTAATAACAATATTCTAAAGTCGTCTATAAGAACTAACTCGCATTTCAGTATCTCGTTTACTAAAATCGAAATGCAAATCTAAATTGGTATGCAAATTTCGAACCAGTTTAATCGTAAAGATCATTGGCAGGTAATGTCACTTACTCCATTAGCCTAGAGAAAGCAGTGAGAATACCAAAAATATTCTTAAAGTAAATGGCTAAAGAATCCTTTAATCCTTTTGAATGTGAAACGTGACTTGAATTTATGCGCACAATTGTAACTACAAAGAGAATTCAGTTAGGTCAGCAGTGAAGTGTTCAGTAAGTAGAGGCGAAACTGAAGTGGGGTGGTGTAAGTGGTTATACAAGGAAGGGTAAATAATTTCTTTAAGATAAATTGAATACTCCTACCATAAAAATATTTTATTTTATGATTTTTAATTTTATTATTTCATCTCAACTATTTCCATATTTGTAAGATACGACTTGAGTAATTGCAAAAATTATGTTTGCTGTTAAATTTGAGTCGTTCTCCACTTTGACTTGAAACCGTAAACCATCTGCTGGATGGATTTTTTTTCTGGAGATATAAAAGATGAATAATTAAATATGGGTTTTGTATTTCGAATTGAATTTTCCTTTGACTTTGAATTATTTTTATCATAAATTTTGCATTATTATTCTGCGTATTGCTTCAGTTTATTTATATTTTTTTATTTTCAATTTTTATTTTTTCTAAGTTTGCATTAATTACATTATATATGGAATGCATAAAATACGTATTCATATTGGCAAGGAAACGAAATGTTGCCTCCTTACTAGTATCTCTCGATATTTTCAAGGGCCTGGAAACGCATTCCACACGCTCCTTAATATATTGAATGGCTTTTGTAGTGTAGTGTTCATTTCGTCTGTTAACATTTAATGGCATAAATGAAGTCAACGTGAGTTGTTTGCAATTAACTATTAATGAGCTGGTAATTGCTACCACCGCCTTTCGAAGTGTCTTCCATGGTCATCATGTATCACCGAGGCAATATATACTCACGTCAAGTGCACATACTTTATATTGTCATTCATCTTGTAATTATGCGGTTGTTATGTGGCATTAAAATGTTTTTGCGTGAAATTCCTTAAATTGTGTTTCCTTTGGCCGATACTAGGTAGTTGGCAGTAGGTGAAGTATGAGTTTGAGTACTGAACACAAACGATTTATGAACAGTATTTGATGGTACACGAGTGTAATAAAATTAAATAATCAGTTAGTATACATACATTCGGGAATAGGAATGAATAAATAAAAGTTGAATATTTATATCAAAAAATACTCAAATTGACAGGTAAAATTGAAAATTGATATGGCATCACTTAGGTAAATATATACGAGTATATAAATACTGAAAGAATAGTGAAATATATGCAAATAACATAATTAGTGTATTGATGTATGAAGAGATAGATAGATATCAAATTGAGTCCATCATTTTGAAGACAACCACAAGAAATGGTATCATTGTTATATACTAAGCTATCACAAATTGTGCTTGTACATGTGTACATGTTTTATAGAAAAGAAAAGATTTCTTACATGTTTGAATAGAAATTTAGGTCTTCTTGAAATTTGAAATTAACTTTCTTAAAACTACAACCGGATTATTCAGGAATACACATGTGAAGAGGACTTTTCACTTTCTCTAACTTATTCCAAGACTATGGGCAAAATGGCGTAAAAGTTCTGTAAATTGCTTTTTTGTGCATAAGTGTTAACATTTGCAATAAGACGAGTTTCTTAAACCTAACCGAAAATTAATAAATAAATTTTATTCGAAATCAAGGATCAAAACATTCTAGAAAAATTAGAATATATGAACTTGGTTTTACAACTATTGTAATAGGTTAGTTATACCGGCGATTCCTAGGAGACACACTCTTGATTCTGTTACCGTATATAGAGGAAAACGCAGGGTTTAAAACCACATAGAACGTTAGGCGAATCTCAAAATGCTGTTTAGTGGCATGTCTTGTAATTGATCCTTAAGAAAGGGGGCCACTAAAATGTTGAGTCGCCACCGCGTCAGACTTGGGCAAAGACAGACTAGATGAGAGGCATTCTCATCGTCTTCCCCACAGCTGCAACAGGAATGATTGAAAAGACTTGTAAGTAAACTTACTTTAAGACTGATAACTCTACGGGGTATCTAAATAAGAATATTAGATTTTCATTTAGTGGAAAGTGGCCAGATTGCGTACAGATGCCTGCATATCGTTGAGTCTTCCCATCTTTTATCAAAAATTTCAGCACAGAAAGAACTCAGTAACAATTTGCATGAAACTATTGTAATAATAAATATAAAAATTAAAGTGAAGGTTTTGATAAAAATCTATCGTCAATTAGAGTTTTTTCTGCAGATCAACCGATTTTACAATTACTATTCGATTCACCAATCTGTGAACGTACACTGGTTTTTGTGAATTCAGGGCACTCTCATGGAATGTGGCAAAATCATAGCATTTAGTTACTTCTTACTAACCTCAATCCTGAAAAAAGGAGATATTTTGTAGGCATTATATAAATTAGTTATCTTACTTAGCGATTTTTGGATTATTGGAAAAGTCAAGTCATAACTGCAGAGCAATCTATTTCATAATTATGTTACGTGTTTAAAGTGTCTGCTGGGAACTCAATCGAAGCTTCACTCTTATAATATTTTTTGCGATCAGTTCTTCGTAAAATATCATTTGCTTTTATATTGCTTATGACTACAGCGTTCCGAAGAAAACGGTTTGTACGATAAAACTTTGGTACCTGTAATTTTGAACGTCATACCATTGGTGGTGGGTAGCACTCGTCGTCGTATGCATAACTACCTGTTAAATGATAAGATCGAAAATAGTATATCACCAACAAAGGATTATGAAAAAAGAGTTATAGACAAATCTGATGATGAACATGTTAGATGCCTTGGAACACAATACTGGAAAATAATCGCTCGAAAGCACAAAATCAAGTAGCAAAAACTAAGGGAAGTTAAGGTGTAACTAAGACCGCCGCATCAATAGAAGAAGATGCACTACCACCTTGGTACAGTGAATGGTGAATCTAAATTTTGAAGATCAATGTATTTTACTTAACTTAGAATAACAAAATAGTTTTCTTTTCGTTTTGTATAAGATTCTATTCCTTTAGTATAAAATGTTTAATACAGGTTCTAAATCGGTCTGCTAATATTTACGATATAATCTATAATTATCTTCCCTGATTATTCAAAGAAATTTCTGTTACTTTATACTTAGAGTCATTTCTTTCAAATTAAATGTCAGTTTAGTTCTTGATGTTTTCTTTTTGTGAACGAAAACCAAAACGAGATTCACTGCTCCATATAAGAAATGTTTTGCTTACTGCTTCAAGGTATGGCGTGACCCCAAATTGCTTCAATATGTACATCACAAATAATTCTAATTTCATTTCAATTGAACACAGTGACTATCAAATCAAGTTTTTTTTATATATTTTTTTCTGTAAAGGAAGAGAATTGTTACTAACTTTAGTATTCGTTGCAGTTTCAACGAGAATCATGAAGCATTCATGCGTAAGTGAGAAACTGTAACAGGATAAAAAGGAATACAACAGTTAAGCAACATGTACAATTTTTTAAAGTAACATAACTTCCAGCAGATGTCCTTTATTGTCGTATGGGAAAAAAATAAGTAGTTCCATGGAGTATGTAACAAAGGTAGTAGGAAGACTTAACACAGCAATTTGCACAACAAGATGCACTGCACTTTCCATACGAGTTTTCTTTTTACGTATGCAATGTATAAAAGTGACATATTGTCAGTTTATTTATTTTTTTTTTTCATTCACGTACATACCATATATCCTCATTTTCATTTTTCTAACAAATTTGTTACAATTTCCGTTTGTCATACTTTACTGCATCCTTTTTACAAAAGATACAGTTTAGTGCACATATTCCATTGCGTATTCCGCAGAATTCGTTAGTTGTAAAGCAATTTTCTAAAGAATTACCAATTCGTCTTGGTGTTGGCTTGAGTATTCTTAAAATGACAAATTTTATAAAAATATTTGATATAAATTTCATTTGAAAAGTACAAATTTATATTTTGAAATTTCGTGCGATTAATAATATATATTCTAAGTTTAATATAACTCTTAATAAGTCAAAATATCGTTTTTCTGAAAATTTTATTCATGCAAATGCTATCTAAGCACTATTGAAATTTTGGGGAGTACAACTAAAAAGTGATAGTGATTTTTTATTCACGAAAATTTCGAATTAATGTTATGGTAATAAAATTGTTTTCAATAAAAGAATCAAAAACTATCGATATACTGAGAACTATAACGTAAAAGCAATACTTTCATTCACGATAAATTCGAATATGTCATAGGTTTTGTTGCCATTAAAACACTGTTAGGAACTACAGCAACATCTCTAATAATATGGGAATACCGCATTTTCCTCAATGAGTTACATAGGCGTCTTAGTGTCCAAATCATATGGGTTCCTAAATACAGAGATATCTGGGGCAATGGTAGGGTAGACAAGCTTGCCAAAGCAGGTACTCTGCTCCCTGACATTAACTTCTCAGATTTTGGCGTCCTACTAGCAGCAGTTAAACTGTCAATTAAACAAATATATCTGAGTATAGCCAAGTAAAACTGGGGAGATAAATTCTGCTGTCAGATCTTTAGAGTAACCTATAATGACTTCTGTCGTGGTTGTTGCTCTAATGAATAAATGAAATTCGTTGACTCTAATTTAAAACTCATGAATACACTAATATTTTTTATATTTAACTATATTTGATTTAAAGAAAATTGGAAAACAGGAAACTGTGATCCACCAAGCTGTTTATAGAAAGTTTTAAGTTTATAGAATGGTCTCTACCTAATGGGGGAGTCATTGCATTTCGGTGTTGCTTGTATGCTGACCTCTAGTCTATGTACCTCTAGTCTATTAGCATTTGTCTATGTATGAACAAATGCTAATCTTGTGGAACTACAACGGGCCATTATATGAGCTCAAGCATACCAGGCCGCTACTCCAACGTAACCTGATCTTATCTTTCTCGGAAAAAAATGGTCGTAAATTCGATAGTTACACTAAAGTAACGGAAAACTATTAAAAATTATTTAGAAATTCTTTAGCTAACTTTCTTTTTATCGTTTTTGCAATAGTTTTTCTCTGAGTATCTTAACATTTTCTATAAAAAAATTATCGCAAAAATTGTGTATAGTGGCTGTGTTAATTAAATTACTGGATGTCTGAAGTCCTGTTGATTTCAGATTGCTGAGTTGAGAATCGAGTCAGTACATGATTCATTTTTCTACCATTTAAATCATACAGATGCACTACTCGTAATATAAAAACGGTGTCCCTGAAATACTATTAAAAGTGTTTACCAAAATATTAAAGTATCTGTTCTTATAATGGTGAAGTTCTTCTTGCATAGTCTTAAGGTTTACGATCTGGTACTAGGGTATTCTAGTGCCTTTTGAGATGCTTTCGTTCTTATAAGTAAATTATGATTGGAATCGTTTAATCTTTTAATTAAAAAAAATTATATTTAACAACTACTATTATTATTTAACAATTACTATATTTGATTCTCTTATTATTTTTAATTAAAATGTTATCAACTTATCTTCGTTGAACTTAGCTAATATTAGTTAGTTAACATTAGTTAGTTAACATTAATGCTTTTAAATTTTATAAACTTTTCATTTTATTTTAATATAATTATTGGACACAAAAGCTAAAGAAATGATCAAATACAAACAAAATGTCTTTCAATATATTGAGTATAATATAGTATTTTCCCTTTTTATCTATAAATGCCAAGGTTTTTAAAGCACGCCTATAATTACTTCAATTATTTGGTTTGGTAAAACTAATTTCGAATCCTTTTGTGTTGCGAGTATATTTGCCATATTTATTTTGCTTAGTTGTGTAAAATTGAATTTATGATGATTACTTTTCCATTATTTGGCATTAAAGTGGGTACGCATTTCATTTTAAAATTAAATATAAATAATAACAAATGCATAAATCCACATTGTTCATACATGATTTAAACTAAATATGGCATGACATTGGCAGAACATATACACTCAAAAAAAATAAATTTAAATATTTGTTTTAAACATAAATGATTTAAAATGAATTATTTCAAATAAATATGATATTGGAATAAATAAATTAAATTTTGTAAATAACAAATTATGCTTTTGTTGCAGTCAAAGTAATTACAAAACAATGGTAAATTCTGTCCCAAATTTTACAATCGATTTGAGCCGTCTGCCTAGTGCTTTTGTAAATATTCAATAATAATTTAATGCAATTATTTGCTTTTATATTATTTAATTAAAACATTACAAAGTTTAATAACAACAGCAAAAATATGCAAAGGTAATCGCAATAAAATTCAAGTGGATATCATATCTGTTACCTTGACTTTTAGAAAAGGGAGTAGATAGTCTATGGCTTTGTCAAACAGACAAGTTTTTTTTTTCGTACAATAACGGGACAGTTATAGGGTCGAAAGGTCATAAGAATACCGAAAGTGATTACGTAAGTTTTACTAAATACATAGTTAGTAACAATGTTGATTGATAAAAGAATGAAACAAGGTTCAATGAGAACTATTAAAAGGGTTTGGAGAATAGAGATTGACAATCGTGGAAAGGATGGATTTAATTTTTCTGCCTTAATCTGTTTCATAAATTTACTCCAATATACATAACTGAATTATGGGGAACGAATATATTATCTTAAAATATAAACAGACTATGATTAAAAAATTTAGGCATAGTTAAAATTCATTAGAAAGGGACAACTTTTTTTTCTAAAAATTGAAACAACTGAAGATATATTAAAGATTATAAGTCAGATTAACTTATTGAGTGCCTTAAATTCCATAATATCACCTAATCAAGTCGTATTATCTCCCAGGAACTGTTGTATCGATCATATAGATGTACTTTTCAAGTAATCAGTTGAATTTAGTGCAACTGTGTTACACATCTCCGTCGACTTCAAAAAGTTGTTCAATGCTCTCAACAACAATAATTTTTGCCCTCCTTAAAACACTTTAAAACATGTCCTCAAAAGTCTTGATAATCAGATTGAACTAGGTAACTTTAAGATAAATGGGAGGATCTAGAATATTATTATACAGAGCTTGTCCATCTCAAACAAACACAGTTTTATGCAGTTAGAAATTATGAATATTACTATTCATAATTTATAAGTAAAGGATATTGGAGATTTAGATCAAATGGTATTCGATTTTAATTTAACTATACAAATATTTGTATTTTCATGCCTTTTTAAGATTTGATAGTTTTGCGATACAACTTCAAATAATAGTAGAATTTTTCTTAAGATTCACTAAGGAATTTCGATATTGGTACCATCGACGTTTCTCTATTTCGATGAAGTTCCTCTATAAGTGGATTCCAAAAGACTAGATGAGGTTAGAAAAAATGCGTTTTTTACTCCGAAATTAATAAGGATCTTGAGTAAATTAGTCTTTGTAAATTGTATGCTTTAATTTTCATCTGAAGCTTCTTGACTTCAATGTTCTTTTGCCAAATAGACGACTATCAGGAAATACGCATATATACAATAATAATATTGCTTATTATCACTCGGGCGCATGTATTCATATATAGGATTATCATTATTGGTTTAAATTTTTGTCCATTAGTTTAGTTATCTTCTTAATAGAATATATGTCGAACTCTTGCTGTCAAAAAAAACTAATTTTTTTCTGGAACTGAAAAATATTCTTGACAAAAGTTGTTTATTTTCCACAACTTTAAATGAAGTAAATTTTCGAGTTGCTCTGTAAACATAAATAAGGCGTGTTTCTTAAATTGCATAAATTGAAAAGGACGAGGTTATCTTCAAAAGAGAAGTGAATAATGAGCACGTCATTAGCGTAATTAGTTGCGCGCAGATTGCACTGGCCTCTGTGAAGTTTTAGGACAGTGCGGAAGTTGTAAAAATGTCAAATGATAAATTATTTCAAAAATATTCAACCATATTACATAGTGTACATAAATATATTTAGATACATACATATGCATTTGTGTGTATATGGGTTTTGGTAAAAACCATATCAACCTTTTTAGAAGAATTATGTTGATTTAAATTTTGGGAAGTTTATTTTGTTATTGATAGTTTGTTGAGTCAAGTTAAAAAATCACAAAAAAAATATAATTTAAATGGTATTGCCAAAACTAAAAATCCTTTATTGAGTCTATCTTATTAGTTTTTGTTTAGTGCAAAGAGATGAACTAAAACTTCCGCCTTTCTTTCTAACATCCATTTCTTTTTTTTGCAGTAGGCATCAAAAGCCATAGTATAAGACGTGAACTCAACTAAAACCACCTCTTAGGAATGAATGAAGTAGATCTCCACAGAAATGTGGAAACTTAATTCCAGTAAACAGGGGAGAGAAATATGAGCAATAGGCTTAATAGACTGGATTTATGTGAAACCAGAAAGCAGGGGTGTGGCGTAGGTTGGAAGAGATGAAGAGGTGGGGTTATAGCGTGGAAAATTGGCTACTGATAGACTTTATGAACGCGATTGTATCGGGGTATAGAGTGAGATGACATCCATTCCTATAAAGTACGTATAAACAAATAATTATAGAAATCCTTAAGAGTAATATGCTTCATATTGTACATGGAAGGGGGGGGGGGGTTATCAGATATTACTTTAAGTGATACAAGTTAGGGGCATTTCATACCCCCGATTTACCGATATTAAATGTGAAAAATCATCATATTTTATTTGAATCAATTTAATTATTTGATTGAGTTAGTTATTAAATAACCGATACCGAGTAGAAAATAGTCCTCTGTCGAGTAACGGTTAAAATATCTTCTCAATAAGTATTTGTTAACATATGATGAGAAAAAACCAAATGCGATTATAACTCTAATCAGAATCTAAAGATTGTTTTTATAGATCTGTTTTCATAGACAGAACCATTTCAGTGAGATTAAAATCTAGGATAAAATATTTCGTTAGGTGCTGCCAGCAAGCTCAAGTTAAGAAGACGACTGGATATGCGTTTTCGGAAGTAAAAGTAAATTCTTTCCGGAATGCAGAGTTATTGATATAAAAGAACAAAATTATGAGAGTTTAGTAGTGGGAGCTTACTGTTTTTTAAGGTTTATCTTTTCCGTAGAGTTGTATGGAACTAGAAGGGAAAATATAATGTTAATTTAGTGCGTATGCATAAGTTTCGATTGTATTCGGGACTAAGAAT